ATGCACTCCATTTGCTGGAGAAAAGGTTCTTCCCCATCACCACCTTTCCTAAATCACCTGTTGCTCCTTGACTCAGAGCACAAACAGGCCACAGCTCCCAGAAATGCTTGTCTGGAGGAATTGTTCCAGTGCTTTTGTGCTGTTGATGCAGGAAGGCCTTTTCCTGAGCTTATTATTAAAGCATTTCCCCCAACTGCTGATTCAGCCTTTTTTACTTCGAGCATAAATCACCCTCCAGACAAAGTCTTGCTGGAGAGCTTTCATTGGCCCCAATTAAAAGGAAACTCTCTGTAAGAACAAAGAATGGATCAGCAAGGAGAAAATGGGCTGAGATTTGTCAACTTGCTTTCTGCTTGCCCTCCTAATTCCTCAATTTATCACAGGAGAAGAACATGGATATTTGCAAGGCAGATTGCTTAATGCAAAGCCTGTGCTAAGGTCTCTCTAAAACTGTAGGAAGGCTGTCCCTGGACCACACAGAAAGTCACCTCAACCCTTTGGAAATGGCTAAATAACCCTTCCCAATAAAGTGCTTGCTCTGGACAGACCTGAGCCCAAATCATCCAACCCAAGGCCAAGCTCCCATTTTCCTGAACATCACTTGGCACCAAACTCTTCAGTCTACCTGATGCCACCACAAAGCAGCTTTTTCAGTCTCAAATCTTCTTTCAGGACAGAGCAGATGAAATAGTTCGATTAATGCTGAATTTAAAAGGCACGTTTCACCCCGTGACTGATCCCTGCCTTCACCACTAAAAATCCTGACTCTCCCCAACACCCCCCCAATCAATGGAGCAGCAGGAAGAAGGGAGCAATAACAAAGCCCTGGTGATGCAAAGCAATCAATCAACTGGCGTTTTTCAGAAGGAAATGAACGGCCCATTAAGGAGGAAGTTGTAACCTCAACATTCCTGTGCTGGGTCCAGTCCCAGACTGCCTGGCATCACAGGGGTTTCAGCCCTGAGGAACAGCCCCCAGGCAGGGCTGTCTGCTCTGACAGAAGAAAGGGAGAGGGTTGGCACAAGGAAGGTGACAAACCTGCCCCAACTGTGGGCACAGCAGGGAAGGGGGGAAGGAAGGGCCCTGCTGAGGCTGAGGAACAGCAGCTCTCACACAGTTATGGAATGGTTTGGGTTGGAAGGAACTTTAAAGATCATCTTGTTCCACTAGGGAGACCTTCCACCAGCCCAGGTTGCTCCAAGCCCCGTCCAACCTGGCCTTGGACGCTTCCAGGGATCCAGGGGCAGCCACAGCTTCTCTGGGCAACCTGGGCCAGGGCCTCCCCACCCTCACAGAATTCCTTCACTATATCTAACCTGAACATCCCCTCTTTCAGTTTGTACCCATTCCGCCTTGTCCTTTCCCTCCAGTTCCTGATGAAGAGTCCTTCTCTGGCTTCCCTGAAGGCCCCTTCAGATCCTGGAAGGTGCTGTGAGGTTCTCCACACAACCTTTTCCTCTTCAGGTTGAACAGCCCCAACTTTCCCAGCCTGTCTCCATATGGGAGATTCTCTATCCCCTTGTCAACATTGTGGCCTCATCTGGACTTGCTCCAACAGTTCCATGTCCTTCTTATGTTGGGGGCACCAGACCTGCACAATTTTCCCTGCTTTCTACTTAGTTCCTAGAAGAAAAAGCACCAGCCTTTTTAATTCCTAAAGCATCATCACAGTTCACATGGACCACATCTTGCCTCTCGTGGACCCACAGCCTTTTGCAAATCTTAATTAAACAAAACATGAAAAGTAGGTCCACAGCTCAGCTCTGATGAGTCTTCTGCACCAGGGGAACGCTGCTCTCCCTGAGGACCCCAAGGGCTGGGACTGGCAGGGAAAGGAGCTCCACCACCACTGCAAAATTTTCCTGAGGAAAAAACATTCTCCTCAGCAGTGGAGAACCCAGATGGGGAATCAAAGCTCCCTGAACAAGGGACACTCACCCACTGTCTGACTCTGAACATGCTGGTTTGCACCCTGTCCTCCCAAACCAAGGAGAAGGACACACATTCACTAACTCCACCTTTTGAGCCCTGGATGCAAGAGGCAACACCTTCCAGCTTCTTCCCATATCAACCCAGGATGGGACCAGAAAAGACCAGGCTGATTCAGGCAGCACCAGTGTGCAGGTGCTGAACTGTCTGGTGCTGGTGGATGGATTGCACCCAAAGAGGAGTGGTCAGGTCAGGAGAGGGCCCTTGTGAGATCCCACCTGCACAGCTGCCTCCAGCTCTGGGGTCCCCAACACAAGAAAGATGTGGATCTGCTATGGGGGGTCCAGAGGAGGCCACGAAGATGTTCCAAGGGCTGCAGCCAGGCTGGGAGAGCTGGGGGTGCTCACCTGGAGAAGAGAAGGATCCAGGAAGACCTGAGAGCCCCTTCCAGGGCCCAAAGGGGCTCCAGGAGAGCTGGAGAGGGAGTGGACAGGACAAGGGATGGAGGGACAGGACACAGGGAATGGCTTCCCACAGCCAGAGGGCAGGGATAGATGGGATATTGGGAAGGAATTGTTGGCTGTGAGGGTGGGGAGGCCCTGGCCCAGGTTGCCCAGAGAAGCTGTGGCTGCCCCATCCCTGGAAGTGTCCAAGGCCAGGTTGGATGGGGCTTGGAGCAACCTGGGCTAGTGGAAGGTGTCCCTGCCCATGGCAGGGGTGGACCTGGACCCTGCCAGGCTTTAAGTCCCTTCAAACTCAAGCCAGTGTGTGATCCTGTGATTCTGTGACCAGCTGCATTTCTGTTACTCTTGTAGTCTGAGAGCTGCACCCACCACGAGCCCCCACAGAGGGTTTTCAGCCACTGCAGCCCGTGGTTTGGGCTTTTGTCTCCTTTTTAAATCTTGTGAACTCAGAATAGGCACAGAAGACACCAAAACAAAAGCCAAGTGGCCAGAAAACTGCCCATGACTGAAGCTGTGAAGAGGTTCGTCAGGGTCATCTTCTCCACCCACAGATTCTCTCAGCAGAAGCACAGGCAGGTCCTCAGCAAGCAGAGCAGCACAGGGAGGGGGTGACACAGCACTCAGGGACAGGGAACAGGGGGCAGAGGTGGCTTCTGGCATCATTTACATGAGCTGAGGGGACCCTCAGACCTGACAGAGAAGTGAACCCACCAAACACCAAAACCTAAACTGGGGTCTCAGACGTGATGTACAACAAACACTCAACAGCAGCTCCTCCAGCAACCTGTTCCCAGTGAGATTAATGGGGGTCTGGGATGATACTGTAAGAGTTCCAAAGCAAGCCCCAAAATCAATACCCCAATAGTAGGCTCTGGGTTTTGCACGTGGTACAAGAGGCAGTTTGGGAGAAGATGATCTAATTCACCACATATTGATTAATCAATTCAGGCAGGATGCTAATGGGCTTTTCTTACAACACTTGGCACTGGAAGGAAGGAGCAGGAATGCTGAATGAGAGGGGGAGAAACTGGTTGTGTGATGAAGTTTCAGGGAGGGGGGAGCATGGAGTGGGGAAATGGGCCCTTCTAGAGATCACTCTAAGTGGTCTGAGACTGGGAATAAATGGAGAAGCTGAGCAACGAATGGAGAAGGTAATAAATCAGGTATATTGGCTTCAAACCCAGTAGAATTGTACCTTGCAATTTACTGTGGCTGATGAAAATCCTTTCCTTTTGCTACAAAAACCCTCCCAGGAAGGGCTGTGAGAGAGCCCAGCATGGGTCTGGAGGCTGTAATGAAGCAGAGTGAACACACTGCCATCCTCCTGCCACTGGATGGGTGGAGGGCATTAGCAATGCCCACTTTAGTTATTTTCCCACGTAAAATACCAGCTCAAACAAGAGCATTGCACTGCCTGAAAGGCAGCAGTCGGTCAGTCATTGCTAACTGGGTGAGATTGTCCTGCTCTGGGAAACTTGAGCAAACAAGAGGTTTTGACAAAAACTGTCAGCAAAGACCCCTGTGAGGAAATTCAGCCCCATCTTCACAGCCAACAGGGTGGTGCCAGGTGTGAAGGTGGGTGGTAGGGCTTCGTAAAATTGTGTTGGAGTTGCCCAAACTAGTCCTGGCCCTCAGTGCTGAGGTCCAGTTGATGCTGCTCACTGATGGAAATTAAAAGTTTGATCACAAAGGCTGCACCCAAGAGAGGAAGAGACTTCCTCAAGAGAGCAAAGCCCCAGGTACAAAATATTAAGGAGTCACTGGTTTTGCCACCCAATGTTGTGCAATTTGGTAATTTACTGATTTACTACAGGACATTGTGAGAACTTGCTCCTGCTCACCCACCCATCCCACAGCAGCACCTTGGAGTGCCACAGCAATTCCTACACTTGGCAACACCCCACTGACACAAAACATGCTACAGGAAAGCAAATTACAGAATCCCAGAATCAGTTGGGTTGGAAAAGGCCTCTGAGATCATCAAGTCCAACCTGTGACCCAACCCCACCTTGTCACCCAGACCATGGCACTGATGCCACATCCAGGCTCTGCTCAAACACCTCCAGGGACGGGCACTCCACCCCCTCCCTGGGCAGCCCATTCCAAGGGCTGATCCCTCTCTCTGCAAACAACTTCTGCCCAATGTCCCACCTAAACCTGCCCTGGGGCAGCTCAAGGCTGTGCCCTCTTGTCCTGCTGCTGGTTCCTGGCAGCAGAGCCCGACCCCCCCCCCGGCTCCTCTCTCCTATCAGGGAGTTGCAGAGAGTGAGAAGGTCTCCCCTGAGCCTCCTCCTGTCCAGGCTGAGCCCCCCCAGCTCCCTCAGCCTCTCCTCACAGCACTTGTGCTCCAGACCCTTCCCCAGCCTCGTTGCCCTTCTCTGGACATGACCTCAAACCCCCACAGGCCATGGTGGTGGCTCAAAGGCTCTCACAGCACCTGCAGAACAACCCCCAGGAAAACAGGAACAATCCTCTTAAAAAGCAGAGTGAGGTGCTACGAGAAAATACACAAATTAAATCCCTTTTTTCTTCCAGAACAACATTTCCCAGACTGCCACAAGGCACAAGAGCACCCCAGGAGCCCTCCAGGCCCTGCAGCAGACTCACATTGTAGAGGATGTCTGTCCATCCCTCCATGGTGATGCACTGGAAGACGGTGAGCACAGCGAAGAGGATGTTGTCGAAGTTGGTGATGCCGTAGTTGGGCCCTTGCCAGTACTCCCTGCAGGTGGTCCCGCTCTCACACTGCCTGGCAGGGGGCTCCTCTCCACAAGGGAAATCTCCCACCTCATCACCTGCAGAGAGGGGAGAAAAGTTACCACCTGAAGCCACGAAAGCAGCTGGACCCTCCCTGTGGCACTGCGGGGACATCAGGCACATCTTGGGTTTCCACTATAAAGTCATCAAGCCCATGTAATCATTTATCTGCTGCTGTGGTGTAAGAGATGGTTTAGGGCACAGCAGAGTGCCCATAATTTATAGTTTGCCCCACCTCATGTCATGGAATCACGGAAATTACCTCTATGATCCTCATGTCCAACCATCATCACAGCACCAGCACAATGTTCACCATAAACCACATCCCCAGGTGCCACATCCCCAGGATTTTGAACATTTCCAGGGATGATCACTCCACCACTTTCCTGTTCCAGTGCCTGACCACCCTTCCAGTGGAGAAATTTTCCCTAATCTCCACGTGGTGCAACTTGAGGCCGTTTCCTCTCATCCTGGCACTTGTCACCTGGCAGAAAAGGCTCCCAAACTGCTAAGAATTTCCAGCTTATGACAGCTGACCATGTTTAAGAGGCCTGCAAACAGTGTAAGAGCAGCTGTATGTGAGAAACACCACAAAAACCCCCCAAAGTGTGGTAAAAAAAACAAGGGCTTGGGGATAGCACCTAATTCAAACACCCTCCTACAGCACAGCCAAGGGTTAATATTGACACTATAACATTAAAGCTGAAGGGGAGGTTCTGGGTCAAGAAAGATCTGGTTGTGGACAGCCCCAGAATTGTCCAGGTACAGATATTAGGCCCTTTTTCTCATAAGGGAGTTCCACCACAGCAGCCTGAAGGGTGGACTGAGGGCTCCAGCCCCTCTGTAAGTGCCACATTTTTGCTCCATGTGGCAGGGAAAGCATCCAGCTGATGGTGCTTCTCTGCTGGGTTTCATTTCACACCCAGAGAAGGCAAAGGTGGGTGAATCTGTCAATGAAGGACCACCAGGGATGGCCAGGAGGGTGCTCAGCACCTTCCAGGGTGAAGCCTGAAGGATTTCAGCCCTCCAGAGCAGCTGGGAAAATTAAAGTGCTGAGTTTTCAGAGTAACCAAACATGCTAAGTAATATTCCTATTTACAGAGATGCAATTTGGGGAAGCATTAAAGGGTTTTTAAAGCGACACATTATGGTAATGGAGCAGCAAACTGCACAAAATCCAATTCACCAGGGGGGAAACAAGAGCAGCACTAATGAGAATTAGGAATAAACATTCCACAGAGCAGAGGCTGCAGGAGGAAAACAAGGTTGTCACTGTGGACCAGGATAAGAATGTGTGCATATATATATAAATATATATATTTATATGTGACACGCTTTCCTGTTGACTCAACACCTTGATGCAGGGCAAAGCTCCAGCTCCCATATGGGTCACCACAGGCTTTCACGAGGGCTTAGTGAGAGAAGGCTGCAAAAAGAAAATATCAAATCTGGCTTGTGCAGATCGTTTGTGAGGGTGCATTAAAAGGGGATCCAGTTTCATCTCAGTTTGGCTTCTTGCTGCCAGGTAATGCTGTGAAAATTCAGTTCACAGAGGGTTGGGTGGGGGTTTTTCTTTTTTTAAAAAAAAGAAAAGAACTGGCCCCATGGCTGGAGAAGGCAGAGAAAAGGGGAATCTCAAAGAAAAATGGGAAATAAACGTGATGCCCTTCTGTTTTGGAGCAGCTTCAGGGCACTTGGGCTGGGTGAGCTGCTTAAAAATGATCCTGAGTCAGGAAAACAGGACAGAATGGAGGATGCAGGGAGAGGGAAACAAGTCAGGTATCCACTGGAACATGCTCTGCCATCACAGTTGGAAGGAATCCACAAGGATCATCGAGTCCAGCTCTGAAGGGAATGGCCCAAGCAGGGATCAAACCCACAACGTGGGTGTTGTCAGCACCCTGCTCTGACCCGCTGAGCTAACACTGATTTTCACCCATTTTTATTCCAATAAAGCTGTATTTCCACACTGCAGAGCTCAAATTGCCCCATTTTGGTCCCCACCATCCCTCCTCGCTGCAGTTTATCCCTGACCCGCCCGGGGCTGCGGGCTCAGCAGGGTTAGAGCAGCACTCGTTGCTGACACCTCCACTTGGTTCCCCTCCTGATGCGCTGAGGTGACACTTGGTACCTCTCATGTGGCTCCCGATTCCAGGAAAAATCCCAGGAGCTCGCTCACTTTGGGGATTTGGAACAGACACAAGCACGAGCGACTCCTCCTCCTCCTCCTCCTCTCATTTCCTCCCCTCCGGCAGAGGCGTCTCTTTAATGAGCTTCCCATTTCCACTCTCCGGCCCGCTCGGAGCCCGCGGCTCGTTAATGCACCTCTTTGGAGATGCTGATGAGGTTTTAAAAGGCTCCGCTGATGGGTTGTGGCCGCTCTGCAGCTCCAGGGACTGCAGCGCCAGGAAACCCTCCCCGCATCTCCCTCCCAGAAACACCATTTCCCGCCCAGCAGCTGGGATTGATCCCCGTAATTCAGCCAACGACATCAATCAGCACTTCGGGACAGAGGTGCTCGATGCCCTTCAGGACAGGGGGGTGCACAGACACCTTCCACACCCGCGGGGAGGGGGTTCAGGGAAGCTGATCCCATCACCTCCCACTGAGGTGCCGGGTCATGGGATGCAGGGATGGAATGGAATATGCTGAGATGGAAGGGACCCACGGGGATCATCCAGTCCAAGTTACAGGACAACCCAACAATCCCTGAGAGCGTTGTCCAAACCCTCCTGGAACTCTGGCACCCTTGGTGCTGTGCCCACTGCCCTGGGGAGCCTGGTCAGTGCCCAACCACCCTCTGAGGGAAGAACCTTTGCCTGAGATCCAACCTGACCCTGCCCTGACACAGCTCCAGCCATTCCCTGGGTGCTGTCCCTGGTCCCCCCAGAGCAGAGCTCAGTCCCTGCCCCTCCTCTGTCCCTCCCCAGGAAGCTGGAACTGCCATGAGCTCTCCCCTCAGTCTCCTCTTCTCCAGTTGAACACCCCAAGTGCCCTCAGTGTCCTCCCACAGCTTCAAATCAAGGCCCTTCCCCATCCTCGTTGCCTCCAGTTTACACAGAGCTTTGCACCAGCAGGCGAAATTCTTCCTTATGTTCCTATGGAATGTTTTCCTAACATTCCACAGGACCAGAAGCTCATCCAAAGCTCTGTGTGAATCAAGTGTGTTCAACTGTTTCCATGTTGCTTTTAGAAAGCTCTGTGAGGGTGCCCAGAGACTTGGCAGGGATGTTGTTTTATTATCATTTGAATGCATGTAAATAAATTAAGACCTACTAGTGAAAATCAACAAAAATACAGGATTGTGTTTTGAAGACAGTTGCTTTTACCTTAAAATGCAGTGATTTGAAGACAAGAACAATATTTTCTTCTAGGCACAGCCCAGTTGCCCAGAGAAGCTGTGGCTGCCCCATCCCTGGAAGTGTCCAAGGCCAGGTTGGATGGGGCTTGGAGCAACCTGGGCTAGTGGGAGGTGTCCCTGCCCCTGGCACGGGGTGGAACTGGATGGGCTTTAAGGTCCCTTCCAACCCAACCCATTCCATGATTTGACCTGGCAGCTGGTCCCAGCCAAGGGACTCTGGGAATCATTCTTCTCCTCCTCCATCTCCTGGGGTTTCTCACTCCATCACAGGCAGACACATCATTTACTCTTCAGTGCCCAATGTCCCTTGTCCTTCTCTGAAAGTTATTTTTTATCCTTTCTCCATCAAAGGACTCCTTACCTTCCACCTATTGTCCTTTCATTTTTCATTTGCTCCCAGTCTTTCCAATCGTTTACTGTTTCCCACCAAAGTTTTCTCATACCCATGCAAATTCCCCAGAAACCTTCCAAGGAAATTTAACATTCGCTGGCTTAAACTCAATGAGAATGTGAACAGACACCACTAAATAAGAAAAAATAATTTAAAAAATAAATTAAAATAATAAAAAATAATAAAATAATAAAATAATAAAATTAATAAATAAAAATAATAAAAAATAAAAAATAAAATAATAAAATAATAAAATAAAAATTATTTTTAAAAAATAAAAATAATAAAATAATAAAATAAAAATTAAAATTTATAATAAGATAAGAAAATTAAAAATAAAAGTAATAAAATAATAAAATAATAAAAATAATAAAATTAAAATTAAAATTTATTATAAAATAATAAAATTAAAAATTAAAATAATAAAATTAAAATAAAATTTATAATAAAATAAATAATTTTTAAAACCCTGCTTTTATAATAAAATAAATAATTAAAAAGACTCCACTTTTCAGCAAGCTGAAACAACAGGAATTTGGTTCTGTATATCTACTATGAAAAAATTCTTCCATGAGAGGAGGCCCTAAGCACCTTTTTCTCATTATTGTGTAGACTGAGAGCAGCCCAGGAGTGCTGTGGGGGTATAACAGAGAGGAGAATCTGTCCTAATGAATGTAGGATGAGTTAACTCCTGTTAACTCTTGGAGTTGGTTTTAAAGAGGGAGAAAATGCAGAGAAAATGCAGCGAACGTGGAAAAGGGTGAAGGAAAAGCAACATAAGAGCGGGATAGGAAGATCCTGAGGAGATGAAGGGGACCAGGAGCATCCTGATGACACACTGGGAGGGGAGGGAAGCTCCAAGCTCACCTGTCTCGTTGGAGAAGCAGGTTTTGTGGAACTTGCCCATGTAAAACTCCAGCCCGATGATGGCAAACATCACGATGGCGAAGAAGAGGAGCAGCCCGATCTGCAGCAGGGGCACCATGGCCTTCATGATGGACTTGAGCACAACCTGCAGGCCTGGGGGGACAAGGAGAACGTGTCAGGGAGGGAAGGGAAAAAAAACAAGGGCTTGGGGGTGGAGGGAAGGCAGGAGAGAGGGGCTGTCTGAGGGAAAGTTTAGGCTTGGCAGTGCCACCAATGCTGCTCTTCCCAGGGGGTCCTAAAAATGATGCCACAGCCACGAGGAGTTCAAGAGCAGGAGAGACAATCAGGAGTTATCTTTTCGTGATGTCTTTTCTTCAGGTGACAGATTCAAAGGGTTCTTAAGCATCAGAGACCCAAAAAGGGTTTTTCCTGAGCCAGACACTGAGCCTGGAGCTGAGCCAGGTTCTCGAGGCAGGTCCTGCAGCAGCAGAGCTGGGCATGGCTCTGGTTCCCCTGTCCCAGAGGGTGCTGGGCTGACCAGGAGCTGCCTCTCCCTCCACAGCACATGGAACAGCCACGATGCTGCTCCTGGAGGAACAATCCCTGTCTCCAGGGCTGTCCATCCAAAGCTTTTTCACCAGCACTAAAGCTCATTTTCAATTAAAACCAGGGGAGATAAGGGAGAGGCTGGAGAGATAATGGCAAAAAGATGCCCACAACAAAAAACCTGCAGTGATAAGCAGCAGCTGCCTTGGTGGCCTGTCCTAAGGGGAGGAGAAAGAAGGATCATCCTTGTCTTGCCACCTTGGACAGCACTGGTGAGGTCAATATGGGGACACGCAGGAAAAAAAGGGATGGAAAAAGTACTATGGGGGTAGAAGGAAAGTGTAAACGTGGCTGTGTGTGATTGCACCTCAGGGTTGTACATCTGCTACGGGGGGGGAAAAGCCACAGTTTTCACAGCATCCCTAAAAACCTGAGAGCAAATATTGTGGGAAAATATTGTGCTGGGTCAGGACACGTCACCACGGGGGAGAACAAGTCCTGCTGGGGGGACAGCTCTGAGGGGCCACCTCCCTCCTCTGTCACCCTTAGACTGTCATTACCACACCTTGCACAGGCAAGAAGTCCATGAAAAAACAGCCAGCAGCATCTTATTAGAAATCCTGACAATAAATGTCACCCTTCCCAAGCCTAGCCAAGGACCCCTCCTGGGTGGGAATTCAGGCTGAAGCCCTGCCCATGAAAAATGCCGATGGCAGGAAATTTTGGTGCAGTGATTACAAAGCATCACCTCTTGCTGGGTGTCCACAGCACCAAAGTGTCAGCCCTGAAGCAGCCAGGGAGGTGGTAGAGCTGGTGACCCAGGAGGAGATGGGACTGACTGGCTGCCAAGGGGTCAATATAGGCAAGACCAGAGCATCCCACAAAGCTGCAGTTCCCTTTCAGCAGCTCCTGCTGGAGGGTCAAACCTCTCTGTTCCTCCTTCAGAACTGAAACCCACTCCTGACTGCAGCAGGCAGAGGGGACAGGGACAAATAAAAAGGCAGGAAGGCACGGTGTGAGGACTGGGATGGATTCAGGGCATCAGCAAGGCAGGATGCAGCTCCTCACTGGAGCATTCACCTTTCATTTAACACATAAAATATAGGAAGCTGCCTATTGAGTAGAAAAAGCCAAGTCCCACCTGCTCTTTCCCTTCATTTTTCCGTCCCCTTATTTAAAGGAAAATATCCCCAACACGAGATCTGATCAAAACCATCAGAACACCCAAGCTCGGGGCTGGGGGCCTGAAAGCTGCAGAATTTGGGTCTCGGGTCTTCACACCCCAGAGAATTAACTCACCCCCAAAGGCAAAGGGGTCCCAGGAGCGATCCCTGCCCCTCCCCTACAAATTTGGGAGGGCAGAGCTGAAATGAGCTGGCTGAGCACAGAGTGGGGTGAAAGGAAATCCGACCCTGGCAAGGGCAGGAGCCACAGCCAGCCAAGACACAGGGGGAGAAAATATTGCTCAGAAAAGCATGTAACAGCCCCCAAACCCCAGAACCCCTCAGGCTGTGAGGTGACATTGTCCTGACACTCACTCGGGATTCCCGACACCAGTTTCAGGGGTCGCAGCACTCGCACAGCTCGCAGCGTCCTCAGGTCAAAATCAGTGCCAGCAGTCGCCAGAATCCTGAAAAAAAAACAGGGAGAGAGGGCAAAAATTGAGATTCAAATGCAAATTCCTCCTTCCAAAGCATGGATTATTGTCATGTAAAACCAGCAAATAGTGGAGATGCTTTAAACTTTATACCTGTGGTCACGTTTAAGTGGTGTGCACTGAACCCCATTAACTCACACCCTCCTCCGGAGCTGCTGAGCCTTGCTCAGACCATCAAAGGATCCCCAATCTCTGCCTGCTTATTTGGCCATTGACACATCATGTGGTCACTAAAGAGCCGTGATACAGGAAAACGCTGCCCTGTTTCCCAGAAGGTGATGGAGAGAGGGAAATGAACCCCTCAGTTACACCAGAAATCAGCTGCCAGAGCTTCTCCCGGTAATAAATTCAGAAATCTCTCAAGTACTGATGCCTGGTGTTTCCCCAATACCCGAAGCAGCTTCTGGTAGTACAGTTTACTCTCTGTGTGCAAAATTAATCTTTGTTCAGAGCATCTTCTTTGAGGAGAATATTCAGAGAGGAGGATGCGAGTCTGATACACTGATATGAAATACAATGTGTGAACTCTGAGATGATATCCTGATATGAACTCTGATAGGAAATACAGCCCCCAAACCAGAATGACTCTTCAAAAGGAAATGTCTTCACCATTTGAGGGTGTAGCAAAGGAAGAAATATTGTCCACAAGCCACAATGATGGAAGCTCCTTAAGCAAAGGTTCTATAAGAGAGACACTGCCCCACCAGCAAAGCCACATTCACTACTTACTGCAGCACTTCCTATGGTGCTTCAGCAAAAATATTCTTAATTTAAGGCAGCACTCCCCTAAAAGTTGGACTTGATGATCTTACAGGTCTTTTCCAACTTAAATAATTCTCTCAGACAAGGAAACCATGCAGGTAATAAAGAGCAAACCCTCCTACCAGCTCTCCACCCTCTGCACCATTTACAGCCCTCAGGAGCAATTGCCTTTATTTTGCTGTCTCTGTCCCCAGGTTGTTTTGCCAAGGTGGAAGTGGGTGAGCACCCAGTCCACCAGTGGGGTCTGCAAGCCCCCAATTACCTGGGATCAAATGCCACCCCTGTGTGCCCACCTCTGCTGAAGGTGCTGCCTGTGGGCACCCATCCCTGACCATCACCAGGTGCTTGGCCAACCCTTCCCTGAGAGTCCCAGCAGCAACAGGGACTCACAAACCCGGCTGAAAAGTGGGATTCCAGCACTGCCAGAGGCCGTGGGAAGGGCTGGAAGGAGGTACCAGGCTCAGGCAGTGAATCCCAAGGGATATTAAGCTCCCAGGCACAGCAGGTGTCCTGTGCTGGGGCACAGAGATGCTCAGAGCACCCATAGGGTGCACCCAGGATTCATCTGCTCCTGCCCAGGAGCCCTTTTTCCTGGTTCCTTGATAACAGGCTGCTGAACATTCAGCACTGATCAGCTACCACAAAAAAAATTCACAAGAAAAAGCAGAATTTTTTTAAAATAAGATGGATAATTCTGCTCTGTGCTATACAGGATGCCTGCAAACTCAGAGGAGGGGGATGTGGCTGTGTAGGGAGATCAAATCCCTGTCCTTGACTTACTGACTGACTTAGCCCTGCTGCCAAACAAGGGCCAGGGAAGAGCAGGATCAGCATTGCTGGGCGGAAAGGGCCAGACTCCCTCAGCAGGAGGTGCTGGAGATCAGGAAAAAAACACGCTGAGATGTTGGATGGTAAGAGGCAAAAGCCAGCCAGGACCTGAGGAGTCGAGTATCCATTCCATAGGACACCTGTTCCCACATTTTCACGACCTTAAAATTCCCATTACATCAGCTCCATGGATGCAGTTTGAGCACAAGCAACAGGAGACAATTTAAATAAGAACCATCCCATGCAGAGACTTCTAATTCCATCTTCTGTACCCATGCCAGTGATTTCATTCCTCTTCTCCCTCCCCTCCATCCTCACACCTTAATTGCTCACTTACAAACCTGTGCAGTGTGGGAACATCACTGCAAGTCAAGAGACAATCTTCAACATCCACCTTGGATGTTGTTCCTGACGGCACAATCAGTCCCCAGAGAGCCAAGATGGATTTGTGCTGTCACCAGGCAGAGCCCTGCCTTGTGGTACAAGCTGAGAGAAGGGGGGCTTGATACAATTATTGGTTTGTTTTAAATTCAAAGAGAAACTGGGAGGCAATGGGAAACACCAGCAATTACCCCCTTGGTGCCAGTAAATCTTCCAATGGCTTGAATCTTCATTCCAGAGTTTTCTTCCTAACAGGCTTAATGTTAAAACACCCTGCCCAAACTATGGGAACACTCACACCCCCTTCCCCAGTCAACAAACCCTAAAGAGTCATTAATTCCCACATCAGTGGCACTGGCAGCCCCCAGCCAACCTACACAGGGCACCCCACAACCCACCATGCCCCAGGGCTGCAGAGCTGGCCCAGGGACTGTGGCACACCACAGGCACATCACCCAAACCAGCCATGAGCACAGAGCTGGGCTGGCACTGCTCCCTCTGCCCAGGGCTCAGTCACTCTGGGAAAGTAAAACAGCCCTGGTCAGATTTTACCCGGAGAAGGAAAAGAAAAATAGAGCTCATTGCTAGACAAGGTCACTTCTGGTGCAAAATCACAGAATCCCAGAATGGTTTGGGTTGGAAGGGACCTTAAAGTCCATCTTGTTCCAGCTGTCAGTGCAGGAACAGGGCAGGGACACCTTCCACTAGCCCAGATTGCTCCAAGCCCCATCCAACCTGGCCTTGGACACTTCCAGGGATCCAGGAACAGCCACAGCTTCTCTGAGCAACCTGTGCCAGGGCCTCACCACCCTCGCAGCCAGGAATTCCTTCCCAATATCCCACCTAACCCTGTCCTCTGGCAGTGGGAAGCCATTCCCTGTGTCCTGTCCCTCCATCCCTTGTCCCCAGTCCCTCTCCAGCTCTCCTGGAGCCCCTTTAGGCCCTGGAAGGAGCTCTCAGCTCTCCCTGGATCCTTCTCTTCTCCAGGTGAACCCCCCCAGCTCTCCCAGCCTGGCTCCAGAGCAAAGGAGCTCCAGCCCTTGGAGCATCTCTGTGGCCTCCTGTGGATTCACTCCAGCAGAAACAGGAGATGGAAGGGCTGAGGAGGCAGCTCTGACTCTGAACATCCACACCTGAGTCCTGCAGGTGACTGAGGGAGGTGCTGAGGGAGCCCAGGGGGGCACCCAGCGTGTTCCTGCCCGAGCTGCCAGGGCAGGGCTGGGTGCTGCAGCCTTGTCCCACCCTGGGCTCACCCCCCCCAGCTCTGGGGCTCCACACAGGCCACCCCAGCAGTGGAACTGGGGCAGAGAAGGCCCCGAGGCCTTTAAAAGTGTCGCAGTGTCAGCACCCACCCCAGGAGCCCTTGGGCTCTTACAAAGGACCCACCAGCAGCAGCTGGAGCACAACAAAGCGGCTCAGAAGCTGTGCCAGGACAGAGATGGTGCCTTTTCTCCCTACAAAATCAAAGCTAATTTACTGCTGCTCACCAATCCAGTCCCTTAAACTGCTCCCAGACATGCCTGGAAAAGTGTCCCAGTGAGGGAAAGACCTTAATTAACTCCATGGCATTTGCCAAAGTGCCACCTTTCTGTTTTGCTTTTTCCCCCACTCCAGCTGAAAGCTGCCAGCAGCCACTGAGAGTTAGGTCAGAACAAGAGGAAAATTATCATTAAAAATAAGAGAAATAGGGAGATCAAAGGAGCCAGCTGACAGGCATATCCCAACAATCCTGCTCAAGCTTCCCTGGCTGAGCAGCCAAGAGCTGAGAACAAAGCAGAGGTGATGGGTGAGACAGTGCTGGGAGAGGAAATCAGTTGGAGAAGGTTAAAAAATAATGCTAAACCAGAAGATTTTAGGTGATAACCTCACAAAGAATGGCTTGATCTGCAGCCCTCTCTGTCTCTTAATGGGTTGTACAGAAACACTGAGATTTGATATGATGCCTTCGATACCTCAAGTGTAAGTGCAACAGAACCTTATTAAATAAGTTCCTCTGTGTAATTTGCCTTTTTGCTGAGCAGGGTGGCTCAGCACCAAACCTTTCCTGCTCATGTGCTGCTGGGGAGGACCTGGGCACAAACCTGCCAGCCCTGGGTGCTCAGCACCTCGTTCTTCTTTCACCATAACTTGGTTAAATGTTGCTTTTTAAATTCATCACTTGGTTAAATGCTGTTTCCTCTCCCTCTCCTCCACTAACGAGCTCTGACTGACACCCCTTCCCAAGGACAGATGTGTGATAAATGCTTGATAACTTCGATTCCAGCAAAGCCTGGAATAAATTATAAAAGCAGCTGATTCCTTTGGGTGTAAAAGAAAGCAAAGAACGAAGGGAAAGTTCCTTTCCTGAATGTTCTGGTAACATAAATAATTAGCACTCCATTCCTTTCAGTACCTGGGAGCTCAGGGTTGCTGTGCACTGGTTCAGCTGTTGGAGAAATACCAGGGAAGGAATCTTCTCATTGAAGCCCTGACAAAAGAAAATGCTTTGAAACTCCTTCAGGTTTAGCCCCAGAGCTCTAAATCCAGAGGACTGGAGTGGGGAAAGGCCAACCCTGCTCTGAGGTGCTCTAAACCTCATTCCTCACTTTCTCCATAACTTGTTTTAAATGCTGTTTTCTCTCCCTCTCCTTCACTAACAAGCTCTGACTGACACCCCTTCCCAGGGACAGATAAATGCTTGATAACTTCCATTCCAGCAAAGCCTGGAATAAATTATAAAAGCATAATACCAGGAAAGGAATCTCTTTATTGAAGCCCTGACCGAAGAAAATGCCTTGGAACTCCTCCAGGTTTAGCCCCAGAGCTCTAAATCCAGAGGACTGGAGTGGGGAAAGGCCAACCCTGCTCCCTCAGGATCATCCCCACCTCTCCCTCCTCCTGCCTTAGTGGCCTTTCAGTAGATTCATTTCAGATGAGCAGGTGCCAGAGGTGCTTTGCATCTCCCCCGGGGAGGGAAGAAGCAGAGGAACAGACACCCAGGAGGTGCCCTGAGAGACAGCCAA